TCTGGCCAGAAAATCGACACCCCAAAGATCCCATAACAATGCTGAGTTCCTGGGATGGGATCAAGGTCAGGACACTTGGCAGGTGAGAGATGGGGCCGAAGAGGGTTCAGATCCGTTTACTCACCACTGTGTCCACCGTGCCTGGAACAGTGGCTGGCACAGAGTGGGGGCTCATTCAGTGTTTTTTGAATAAATGAGTCTTGGGAGGGAGGATTGTAAATGGCTGATAGCAGAGCAAGAAAGAATGGAGCTAGGGAGGAGATGTCAGCCCCCAGAAGACACATTCACAACCCAAATCAGGCAGCTGGAAGGTAGGTTTGACCAGTGTTTTTCATACTTCCAGATGTCACATACCAAAACTGGGTAGACTAACATCAGGCTGCCTCTTTCTATTTTGCAAATAAAAACATTTTTTTAAAATTGGTCATGTGTACTGGCTCATGCCTATACTGTAATCCCAGCAGGACTGCTTGAGCCTGGGAGTTTGAGACCAGCCTGAGTAACAAAGTGAGACCCTGTCTTTAATTGCATATGTATATATATGTGCACACACAATTTTTTAAAAAATGAACTCTCATCAACAATCAAAATGAGGAAAAGATGTTTTGAAAGCAAGGACATTTACTATCTAGGAAGGATGTAATCACAGAATAAATTTCAGTCTTTTAAATCGAATAGATTTTTCTTTGTGAAAACCTCACTCCATTGCCCTGTGTCCTGGTATTGTCTAGTGGCTTAACCACCAGGAGAGAAACGTCAGGAACAAGGGCAGGGCAGTGCTGTTCCATTACAGAAGGGCTCTCAGAAAAAAGGGCTGAAGTTCCCATCTGGAATATCAGTTAACTGAGCCTTGCCCACTTCAGTCTGCTTTCTCCAGGGCCATTTCTTAATTCCTGCAGGAAGAATGAGAAAGCAGGTAGTTGGCATCAAATATGTATGATCTGGTTTTCTTTTTTCTTTTTTTTTTTTTTTTTGAGACGGAGTTTCGCTCTTGTTACCCAGGCTGGAGTGCAATGGCGCGATCTTGGCTCACCGCAACCTCCGCCTCCTGGGTTCAGGCAATTCTCCTGCCTCAGCCTCCCGAGTAGCCGGGACAACAGGCACGCGCCACCATGCCCAGCTAATTTTTTGTATTTTTAGTAGAGATGGGGTTTCATCACGTTGACCAGGATGGTCTCGATCTCTTGACCTCGTGATCCACCCGTCTCGGCCTCCCAAAGTGCTGGGATTACAGGCGTGAGCCACCGCGCCCGGCTGATCTGGTTTTCTTATGCATGAACCTTTCCTTTTTCCCCTCCTACTATTCTTCAGTGAATTGAGTGCTTTTTCCCCCTTTCTTACGTGTTTGCCTTTTTCTTTCTTTTTCTTTTTTTTACAATGGCACCATCTCAGCTCACGGCAACCTCCACCACTCAGGATCAAGCAATCCTCCCACCTCAGCTGCCCTAGTAGCTAGGACTACAGACACATGCCTCCATATCCAGCTAATTTTTATATTTTTTTTGTAGAGGCAGCGTTTCGCCATGTTGCACAGGCTGGTCTTGAGCTCCTAAACTCAAGTGATCCACCAGTCTTGGCCTCCCAAAATGTTAGGATTACCGGCATGAGCCACCCCACCAGGCCCTAACTGAATGCTTTTTGAGAAGTTGCTCTCATCATCCCACGTTCTGCACAGAACTGGAACATGTAAGTGATATATACACGGCATCTTCTGTCTTTAGGAATTTACAGTGTAGCCAGGAAGATAAACACCATGCATACCTTTTCCCTCCTTGCACCCTTGAACTCAAAGTGGGTCACCAGAGCCATCTGTGAAAATCTGGCTAAGGTCCCTGCTCTTGCCAGATGTCTTAATTCATTTTGTGTTGCTATAACAGAATGCCACAGACTAGGCAATTTATAAGCAAAGAAGTATATTTGGCTCATGGTTCTGGAGGCTGGGAAGTTCAAGATTGAGGAGCTGCATCTTGTGAGAACCTTCCTGCTGGGTGATAACATGGGAGATTTCTCTATTTTAGCCCAGTGAGACCCATGTCAGAATTATGACCCACAGACCCCTAAGATAAGAAATTTGTGTTGTTTTAAGCCACTATGTTTTTGGTAATTCATTACAGCAGCCATAGAAAACTAGTATAGCGATTTGGGTATTGGGAAGTGGAGTGCTGCTGTTAATAACCTAAATACTTAAAAGCATGGAAATGGCTTTAGCGTTGCACAATGGGAAGAGGCTGGGATAATTTTGAGAAGCGTGCTATAAAAAGCCTAGATTGTCTTGAACAGACTGTTAGTAGAATTGTGAATGTTAATGACCCTGCTGGTGAGGACTCAGAAGGGAGAGAAGAGCAGGGCGGAGAAAATGCCTGTCCCTTTAGAGAATACCTACAACAGGCCAGGTGCAGTGGCTCACACCTCTAATCCCAGCACTTTGGGAGGCCAAGGTGGACAGATCACTTGAGGCCAGGAGTTCAAGACCAGCCTGGCAAACATGCTGAAACTCCGTCTCTATTAAAAATGCATGGCCGGGCAAGGTGGCTCACACCTGTAATCCCAGCACTTTGGGCGGCCAAGGCAGGTGGATTACTTGAGGTCAGGAGTTCGAGACCAGCCTGGCCAACATGCTGAAACCCCATCTCTACTAAAAATACAAAAATTAGCTGGGCATGATGGCACATGCCTGTAGTCCCAGCTACTCAGGAGGCTGAGGCAGGAGAACACCTGAACCCAGGAGGCAGAGGTTGCAGTGAGTCAAGGCATGTGAGACCACATGCCTCTCAGCCCTCAGTGCCCCCAGCCCTGCACTACCTCCTCCTCCCTACTTCCTCCCCCTCCTCCTCCTGGCCACTGCACACCAGCCTGGGTGACAGAGTGAGACTGAAAAATAAAAATAAAAATTAGCTGGGCTTGGTGTTACCGTTACTTGGGAGTTACTTGGGAGGCCAAGGCACAAGAATTGCTTGAATGCTGGCGGCTGGAAGCTGCAGTGAGCTGAGATCACACCACTGCACTCCAGCCTGGGCAACAGAGCAAGACTTTGTCTCAAAAAAAAAAAAAAAAAAAAAAAGAGAGAGACAGAGACAGAGAGAGAATACCTGCTACCCACAGCATAATCAGGAGCAGGATCAATAAGGACCTCTCATTCTCTCAATCTTGTCATGCACCCACCTGTTACCATCCATGGGCAAACACATTTTACCCCAGGTATACTTCTTTTGGGGGGGAACAGGTTCTGGCTCTGTCACCCAGGCTGGAGTGCAGTGGCATGATCATGGCTCACTACAGCCTCAACTCCTGTGCTCCAGTGATCCTTCTACCTCAGCCTCCCAAGTAGCTGGGACCACAGGGGTGTGCCACCACACCCAGCTAATTTTTGTATTTTTGGTTGAATGGTGTTTCACCGTGCTCTCTGGCTGGTCTTGAACTCCTGAGCTCAAGCAATCCCTCCACCTCAGCCTCTCAATGTGCTGGGATTACAGGCATGAGCTACCACACCTGGCCCTTCCCCAGGTATGCTAGACATATTCTGCTTTAGTCACTTCTCCTAAAGGTCATGTTAATTAAAAAACATGTTAATGTTCCTATGTTCCTGCATTTCATAATTATCCTTTGAAACAAGAATCTGGCATTCTAATCAGTTAATTACTCCTAATTTATTCAGTCATTCTCTACTTTTTTTTTTTTTTTTTTTTTGAGACAGAGTCTTGCTCTGTCGCCAGGCGTCAGGCTGGAGTGCAGTGGCGTGAGCTCGGCTCACTGCAACCTCAGCCTCCCAGTTTCAAGCAATGCTCCTGCCTCAGCCTCCCGAGTAGCCGGGACTACAGGCATGCACCACCATGCCCAGCTAATTTTTTTTTTTTTTTTGGTAGAGACAGCATTTCACCATGTTGACCAAGATGGTCTCAATCTCTTGACCTCATGGTCTGCCTGCCTTGGCCCCCCAAAGTGCTGGGATTACAGCCATGAGCCACTGCACCTGGCCTACTTAAAAAAAAAAAAAAAAAAAGAAATGCCATTAGAGATGATTCTGAAATAAGCACCTTTGTCCAATATTTTATTGACCTATTTAACACTATTAAGTGTAATTAGAAATAATAACATTGTGTTTCTCTGAAAGTGTCTAATTTGCTCTTTTCCCCACATGGACAATTAGTTCAAATGTATAGGAGGAAGCATCTATGAAGAACTTAGGAACACTCAGAAAGAAGAGCAGACAGGTGTCTACTTGAGGCCGGATGGTGGGAGGAGGGAGAGGGGCAGCAAAGATAACTATTGGATACTCGGCTTAATACCTGGGTGATGAAATAATCTGTACAACAACCCCCATAGCACGAGTTTACCTGTGTAACAGACCTTCACATGGACCCCTGAGCCTAAAATAAAAGTTTTTTAAAAAGGTAGGTGCGATGGCTCATGCCTGTAAACCCAGCACTTTGGGAGGCCGAGGTGGGAGGATCACTTGAGGTCAGGAGTTCTAGATCAGCCTAGCCAACATGGTGAAACCCTATCTCTACAAAAAATACTAAAAAAAAAGTTGGGTGTGGTGGCACGTGCCTGTAATCCCGGCTATTTGGGTGGCTGAGGCAGGAGAATAGCTTGAACCCAGGAGGTGGAGGGTGCAGTGAGCCAAGATTGTGCCACTGTACTCCAGCCTGGGCGACAGAGCAAAACCCTGTCCCAAAAAAAAAAAAAAAAAAAAAAAGTAGGCATATATGGAAAAATAACACAGAAGAAGCATCTGAGATCCAGGTCACAGCCTCACTGTGTTATTGAAAGTCCTCATTTCTACAGATCAATGTCACGCAATGTTTTTCTCTCTCTTTTGTGCAACTGGGAAGCTTTAGGTTTGGGGTTTGGTGGGTGCAAAGATGAAATTCATGCTGTGCATGATTTGTGCACTGGCAAAACACCAACGTGTCTTATCAACATTTCCAAGGAGAATTTGCTCCTGGGAAAAGTCAGCAGGGTCCAGAGAGCAACAGGATCATAAAGCCAGGCAGGCCCAGAGGAGAAACAGCCGGTCTCACCGGCACAGAGCAGGACTCAGGTGTCACTTGGGAGGTAGAGAGCACCTGTTCTCCCACCTGAACAAGGATGGAGAACAAAGAGACGGGAACCCCTCCACTCATTCCATCCAGGGAGGGGGTAAGTGCCAAGACTAGGAAACTGTCCCTGTCCCTGTCCCTCTCCCACCAGCCGTGCAGCTCTGTGGAGGGAGGAGAAGGCCCTGGAATGCTTCTAGCAAGGAAGAGGTAGTGTGCCCCCATTTCCTGCAGGATAACCAGACCTGGGAGAGCCATGTGGAGAAGCAGCTATCCTCAAACCTCCTGGCTCAGACATGGGCCAGACAAGTTTAGTGAATGCTAGGAGAGTGGATGGTGCTGGAGACGCCTCTCTCCCTTCCGTCCCTGCTCCCCTCCGCTTCCCCACCCTTAAAGAGCAAGGAGAGGTGGCTTCCGAAGAATGCCTGAATCCTGCCCTTCTCTGTCTGGTTGTTCCTGGGTGTGCAAAGCTATGGGGTGTGGGCAGCCAGGCAGCTAAGGGTGAGGGCTGGGGTGAGGACATGTGGCCAGGAGTGGCGAGTGGAGGTGGCAGTGGGGAGGGGGCGTGTACCAGGGCCTTGGCTCTAGGACATTGTCACAGAACCCGCCCTACCTGCTCCTCAGACTTTGGCCCTCAGGCCAGTTCCTCTCCAAGCTACCCTGGGTGTTGTGGCAACCATGGAAAGCCACGGCCCTGAGCACAGGGGATTGCCTGGCTTTTCCTAAGGGCCTGCTCTAGAGCCAGAGGCAAGCGGTGGGTCCGTCTGTCTGGGATGCTCTTCCCCCACAATGCCCACACGGCTGTTCCCTCTAATCCACTCTGGTCCTGGCTCAAAGGGCATCTGCTCAGAGATGCCTTCCCTGCCCTGCTCAGCCTACTGAACATGGTCCCTCATTGCCCACAGGCTGCTACCCCATCCATCACCCTGTTTTAGTGTCCTCACAGCATTCTAGCTATTTGGAATTACCATCCTTGTCTCTTTTTTTTTTGGAGGGGGGTGGGCTCCCCTCACTAGAACGTGAGCTTCTCAAAGGCAGTGTTGCTGGGCCTCTTTCCCAAAGTGTCCCCTACTTCACACTTGGTCTCCAGGGCCTAGCACAGTGCCAGGAGCATAGGAGGTGCTCAGGCCTGCGCCACCTCCTCCTCCTTCCTGGGGCACAGGCTGGGCTCCCCCATCCCTCACTTCCAACCCAGGCTAGAGGGAGGGGAAGGCCCAGCCACCCACTTCCGGAGGCCCAAGCCCACAGCATCCCAACCCTGGACTCATCTCCCACAGGGGCTCCAGCTCACGCTGCTGCTTACGACACTGAGCAGCGCCTTTGGCTCAGCCTTCCAGTACGGCTACAACATCGCTGTGGTCAACACGCCGCACAAGGTGGGCACACGGAGGGCCGGGCAGCAGCTGACCCGGGTCATGGGTGGAAGGCAGTGACCATCTTCATCCATGGAGGCCGCCATCTTGCCTCATGGAGGCCGTCATCTTGCCCCATGGAGGCCACCATCTTGCCTCATGGAGGCGCCATCTTGCTCTAGTCCCCTGGATGCCCACGGCTGTAGACCAGGGCGTGGCAGGAGGTATTTCTCCCTGGAGCGTCATCCTTTCCAGGCACATTGGGATGCTGGGGGATCTGGATTCCCAGCCCAGTCTTTTTGGGCCTCAGGTCCTACTGCTCTCACACTGGGGAGGCTCCTTGTTGATTGGAAAGAGAATGGGGTCAGAGATTGAACTCTGTGGCATTTAGGGATTGGGGCAAAGGGGAACAAAGGAAAAAGAGAAAGGGCCCTTGTCACGTGTGGGAGAACTTGAAGGCAGAGTGTTCCCAAAGCCTAGTAAAGAATGAAAGTCAAGGAGGGAGGGACAGCCTGTGCTGATGAGTTCAGATGAGTACTGAGAACTGACCACAGGCTGGACCTTGGTATATGTATATGTTTATACTTGTATACATGTATTAGCATGTCTGCATACACTGTATTACATATTTGTGTGGATTGCATATATGTACATATATTAGTGTACTTACAATTATTACCATGGATGGAGCCTCTGTGTCAAGCAAAGTGCCAACACTTAATCACATTTAATGCTCACATATTCTTTATGAGGTACATTTTGTTTCTATAATTGATTAGGAAATTAAGGTTTCTGGAGGTTCTATAACTTGCCTGAAATCACACAGTTAGTAAGAATATTTCCAGGCCAAGTGTGGTGGCTCACACCTGTAATCCCAGCACTGTGGGAAGCCAAGGTGGGCAGATCACCTGAGGTCAGGAGTTCAAGACTAGCCTGACCAATAAGGTGAAACCCCGTCTCTACTAAAAATACAAAAATTAGCTGGGCGTGGTGGTGGGTGTTTGTAATTCCAGCTACACAGGAGGCTGAGACAGGAGAATCGTTTGAACCTGGGAGGCAGAGGTTGCAGTGAGCCAAGATGGCACCACTGCACTCTGGCCTTGGGGGCAGAGGGAGATTCCGTCTCAGAAAAAAAAAAAAAAAAGAAAGAAAGAAAAGAATATTTCCCGTGGTGCCTCTGACAGAGTAAGTCTCTCAAAAGTAAATTTAAATTTTTTGTTTCTTTTCTTTTCTTTTTTTTTTTTTTTTTTTGAGACAGAGTTTCACTCTTGTTACCCAGGCTGGAGTGCAATGGTGCGATCTCGGCTCACCGCAACCTCCACCTTCCGGGTTCAGGCAATTCTCCTGCCTCAACCTCCCAAGTAGCTGGGATTACAGGCACGCGCCACCATGCCCAGCTAATGTTTTGTATTTTTAGTAGAGACGGGGTTTCACCATGTTGACCAGGATGGTCTCGATCTCTTGACCTCATGATCCACCCGCCTCGGCCTCCCAAAGTGCTGGGATTACAGGCTTGAGCCACCACGCCCGGCTTCTTTTCTTTTTAAATAGAGACAGGGTCTTGCTATGTTGGCCAGGTTAGTCTTGAACTCTTGGCTTCAAGCAGTCCTCCTACCTCAGTCTCCCAAAGTGCTAGGATTACAGGTGTGAGCTACCATGCCTAGCCAAAAGTAAATTTTTTAACAGTGAATTTGTAACAATTTTTTTGTTCAGTTTCTCATCTCAACCCATCATACAGTAGATTTTTGATTCGCAGGTAATCGTAGGGAATCAGCGAGTTCAATTGTGTCTTAAAGGTGTTAGCAGAAAAACCTCCCTGCACAATAACAAGTGGCAACTGAGAACGCTTTCTCATTTCTCATGAATTGCCCAATATTTTTAGCTGTGGATGGGGCAATGTTTTCCAGGTCTTCAAGTCATTTTACAATGAAACCTACTTTGAGCGGCACGCAACCTTCATGGACGAGAAGCTCATGCTGCCTCTGTGGTCCTGCACTGTCTCCATGTTTCCTCTGGGCGGCTTGTTGGGGTCCTTGATCGTGGGCCTGCTGGTGGATAGATGTGGCAGGTAAACAGAAGGTGCGCTGCCCCCACTCAAAATTCACCCCAGTCAGCCACACTGCCTCTGGGTGTTTGTGGACCTGGTGGGGAGATGTGTGACCCTGAGAATCAGAAGATCTGTGAGTCTCCGCATCGCCACAGACTTCATGACCTCAAACCAGTCCCTAAAATTCTCTGGAATTTCTTTCCTGGGCCATTGCATGGGAAAAGCATTCCCTTCTGTCACCTACCTCAGAGGTGCTGCAGCCTTTGAGATCAAGGTTCTTGATGGTACTTAGCTCAGTGCCTTGTAAGCACCTCCAGTGGGTGTTCGATAAATGCTTGTTTATTGGGTTTCATTCCGGGGTCAGAGGCTCCAAGTTCTAAGAGCTGCAGCCTCTCCCCACGTGGCCTCATCAGAGTTTGTTACTGAGGTTGGGGTCAGGCTGAGTCACTGCTGGCCACCATCTCGTATCTTGTTTGGAGATGAAGACGGGGCAGGTCTCTGAACTTTGCTTGGCTTACACGGCTTCACTGATCGCTCTTCCTAAGCGCAGGTGCTCCAAAGACGTGACTCCACAGATAAGGGAGAATGCACAGGCCAAGTTTCCCAGGCGGGCAGAGCCTGCACCGGGCTCAGGGTGAAGCCTGGCGGCGTTCCCTTCTGTCAGCCCCACTCATTCGGATTCACGGTTACACTGGGCGTGAGGTGCCAGGGTAGGCAGTTTGCAGGAGTGACTGGAAGGCGCTCTAATGAAAAGTAACTCAAAAAACCAGAGCAATTCCATTTCAGGCATAGAAGAAAATAGCGCTGATTGAAAATTATCTATTAATTAATGCAAGACTCATAGGACCTCCTCTTGCAAATACTTGATTGACAATTAATTTGCCATACATTATGCACTGGAATGAAGAAACTATTCACTCTAACGTCATTATGCCGTAATCCAGGCTTTTCTTTTGGTCATCCAGACTGTGCTGTTCCCAGCTAGACCTAGAGTGACTGGACTGTTCTGGAAGCCCAGGCTTGGCCTCCACTTTCTTGTCTGAACCCATTTTCCAGATGAGGACCCTGAGCCCAGGAAGGTCGTGGTGCCAGCTTGCCCAGTGGGGTCCTGACAGCCCCAGCCTCCCCTTAAGTCATCAGGAAGGGCTGGGAGTCCAGAGAAGGGTGGGAATGTGTCCAGCTGCTTGATCTCTTTGGGCCTCTTGTCTGGCTGACCCTCCCCTATCAGGATCTGGGCTCTGGTGGCTGCTTCTGAAGGGTGCGGCAGCCCCAGGAGAGAAAAGTGGCCTAAGAATACCAGCCTGTACGTCTGTGGACTCCCTGGCCAGTCCTCAGTGTTGCCAAGCTGGGATATTTTCTTTTCCTTTTTTTTTTTTTTTTTTTGAAGAGGGGTCTCGCTGTGTCCCCAGACTGGAGTGCAGTGGTGTGATCTCGGCTCACTGAAACCTCTGCCTCCCACGTTCAAGCAATTCTCCTGCCTCAGCTTCCCGAGTAGCTGGGATTACAGGTATCTGCCACTATGCCAGGCTAATTTTTGTATTTTTAGTGGAGACGGGGTTTCACCATGTTGGTCAGGCTGGCCTCGAACTCCTGACCTTGTGATCCACCCGCCTTGGCCTCCCAAAGTGCTGGGATTACAGGTGTGAGCCTCCGAGCACAGCTGCTGGGATATTTTCATAGAGACCTCACCACCTGCTCCCTGCTCTTGACACCAGAGCCCCGCCTTCCTCACTCAGGGCACTCACTCAGGGTTCTGGGGATCCTCAAAGATGTGTGCAAAGCGTGCGACAATCACAAAGGTAGTCCTGGGGCTGCTGACAGCTTCACCGTCCCCACACCTGTAGGGGTGTGAGGAGGGAGCACCGCCATCTGGAGGTGGAGGGAAAGGAAACAGAAAAATGAATGCCAGGCTGGGCATGGTGGATCACACCTGTAATCCCAGCACTTTGGGAGGCTGAGGTGGGCGGATCACTTGAGGCCAAGAGTTCGAGACCAGCCAGGCCAACATGGTGAAACTCCGTCTCTACTAAAAATACAAAAATTAGCCAGTCATGGTGGTGCACACCTGTAGTCCCAGCTACTTGGGAGGCTGAGGCAGGAAAATCACTTGAACCTGGGAGGCAGAGTGTATTAGTCCATTTTCACACTGCTGATAAAGACAAACCCAAGACTGGGCAATTTACAAAAGAAAGAGGTTTAATGGACTCACAGTTCCAAGTGGCTGGGGAGGCCTCACAATCATGGCAGAAGGCAAGGAGGAGCAAATCACATCTTACATGGATGGCAGCGGGCAAGAGAGAGTTTGTGCAAAAACCAAAAAACAAACAAACAAAACCCTTCCTTATAACACCATTAGATCTGGTCAGACTTATTCACTAGCAAGAGAACAGCACTGGAAAGACCTGCCCCAACGATTCAGTTACCTTCCACCAGGTCCTTCCCACAACACATGGGAATTTAAGATGAGATTTGAGTGGGGACACAAACCATATCACAGAGGTTGCAGTGAGCCGAGATCGCACCACTGCACTCCAGCCTGGGCAACAGATCAAGACTCCATCTCAAAAAAAAAAAAAAAAAAAGGGAATATCAGAGTGCACCAGCCAGCAACCCCACAGCTCGGGAGCTCTCTGTCCTCTTTCTGATCCACTGCAATTCTTCTCCTGTGCAAAACCCAAGCCAAAAGCAAGCAAAGGGGGGGGGGGGGCACCGGAGCCATTACTGCAAATTGGCATAGGACCTAGAGCACAGAGTCAAGCAGATGAGTGGATCCTGAAGGCAGCGGGATGAGCCCGGCATAGTGCTGTTTTCCAGGCACTCCCTCTCCTTCACAGGCTTATGGTTTTTCAGCCTTGGAAGGGATCTTAGAAACCACGTAGTCCCATTCTGCACCCCACTCATTGTGGGAATTCCCTGCTCAACATTCCTGACAGTCTTCGTGTCTAGTGTAGATACCACCAGCGACAGCTTGAATACCATCAGTGATGGGAAGCTCTGCCTCCTGGGACAGCCCATTCCTTGTCCTTCCCTCCTGGTTTCAGGCAGCTCCAATCATTAGATGCTCCCCTCCCCACTCCCACCCCCGCTGACCCCAAATCTTCCTTCCTGGGATGTCAGCCCATTTGCCCCTTCTTCCCATCTGTCAGCCTGCTACAACCACAGGCTTAAACAACAGACATTTATCTTCTCACCTTCTGCAGGATAGAAATTCAAGATCAAGGTGCTGGCAGATCTGTTTCCTGGTGAAGGCCTTCTTCCTGGCTTGCAGACAGGCTTCTTCTGGCTGTGTCCTTTCTTTTTTTTTTTAGATAGAGTCTCAGTCTGTGGCCTAGGCTGGAGTGCAGTGGCACGATCTCTACTCACTGCAACCTCTGCCTCCCAGATTCAAGCGATTCTCCTGCCTCAGCCTCCTGAGTAGCTGCGATTACAGGCATGTGCCACCACACCTGGCTGATTTTTGGGATATTTTTTTGGTAGGTACAGAGCTTCACCATGTTGGCCAGGCTGATCTCAAACTCCAGACCTCAAGTGATCCGCCTGCCTCAGCCTACCAAAGTGCTGGGATTACAGGCTTCAGCCACCTGTACGCACGCAGCCTGGCTGTGTCTTCACAGGGCAGAAAAAGAGCAGTTTCTTGTGTGTCTCTTCCTATCCTGTCATGAGAGCCCCACGTGACCTATTCCCTCCCAGTGGCCCTCCTCCTGATCCCATCACACTGGGGTTAAGGCCTTCAACATAGGAACTGCAGGACATGATTCAGTCCACAGCCCCTGCTTCAGCCCTTTCTTGGGCACATTCCCCCCACCTCTGTGATGACCACCGGCAGAATAGGAGCTGGTGTCAGGAGAGCTTCCTCAGCCTCCACGCCCTGCTGCCCTCTGGGCTCGCTGTCTTTGCAGAAAGGGGACCCTGCTGATCAACAACATCTTTGCCATCATCCCCGCCATTCTGATGGGAGTCAGCAAAGTGGCCAAGGCTTTTGAGCTGATCATGTTTTCCCGAGTGGTGCTGGGAGTCTGTGCAGGTATGGGGACCCAGGCTCCGTCTGGCTCAGCCTTGGGGGAAGGGTCCGTTTGGCCAAGGCTGGAAGCAGGAGCGGAGCAGGTGTCTGGCTGGTTCTGTCCGCCTCTTTTCCTTTCAAGACATCCTCCCGTCTGCATTCCCAGGGCCCTGCAAGCCTCATGCTTGTTTGTTTTTGTTAACTAATTAATTAATTAATTTTTTAGCGACAGGGCCTCTCACTATGTTGCTGGGCTGATCTCCAACTCCTGGGCTCGAGTGATCCTCCCGCCTCCGCCTCCCAAAGTGCTGGGATTACAGGCGTGAGCCACTTCCCTGGACAAGCCTAGTGCTTTCTAGCCCCTTCCTGTATTTAAGAAAATCTTCTATCAGGGGAGGATCTTGAGAAACACACTCACCTTGAAGTACAAATAACTAATACGGTTTCCCAAGATATCTTCCAAGGAAGAGGGACAATTTCAACTCAGTAGTTTCTTTTTCTTTTTTCTTTTTTTTTTGAGACAGTCTCACTGTGTTACCCAGGCTGGAGTGCAGTGGTGTGGTCTTGGCTCACTACAACCTCTGCCTCCTGGGTTCAAGCGATTCTCCTGCCTCAGCCTCCTCAGTAGCTGGGACTACAGGTGCCTGCCACCACCTAATGTTTGTATTTTTAGTAGAGACATGGTTTCAGCATGTTGGCCAGGCTGGTCTCGAACTCCTGACCTTGTGATCCACCCTCCTTGGCCTCCCAAAGTGCTGGATTACAGGCGTGAGCCACCGCGCCCAGCAGCAATTTCTTAGTTCCAGCAATTTCTTCTATTAATAAAAGTTAGACAAGTCATCTGTGCTTTAGAAGAATCAGAAAATGGACCAAAGCAAAAGATTTGTGGTTAGCTTCCAGGGACACACGAAGGCCTAGCCTTCTCCCCAGAACAAGCAGGCCAGCCCCGCAGCTAGAAAGGAAAAGGTCTCCTCATCAGGTCCTGGTGATGCTCCCATGGGGGCTGAGGATTCTGGAGGGATTTTGTTATAAGTCCAAACTCAACAGTCAAGGTTGGCCTCGCTCCATCTCCGCAGAGGGGCTGGCAGCACGGAGAAGGCCCGGGATTAGGAAATGGAATTGAATTGCATCTCAGCTTTCTGCGTTTGTGATGTGCCTGCCCTGATTTCTGCCGTGCCCAAACCAGGCATCTCCTACAGCGCCCTTCCCATGTACCTGGGGGAACTGGCTCCCAAGAACCTAAGAGGCATGCTGGGAACAATGACCGAGGTGTTTGTCATCGTTGGAGTCTTCCTAGCACAGATCTTCAGCCTGCAGGCCATCTTGGGCAACCCGGCAGGTAAATGGCAGCCGCAGGGGTCGTGTTAGGTCCGGTCCCTCACTCAGCCTCCATGCCGGGTGTTACTGACAGATCAAGTCAGATGACACCTGAGAGGTGGCCCAGGGCCGGGCGTTGTGCTGTGTGGGGGGTGACGGGATGGGTGACCTTGATCAGGGCTGTTTTGGTGAGTGATGGGGACAAACTGTGCTTGGGAATGAGTTTTTGCTATTAAGGGAAGGAGAGAAGTTAGGGAAGCGAGGTCAAGAGAAGAGGTTTCTTTCAAGCGGTGAAAAATGTCGGCATAATTTGGCTGCCACAGGAACGGTACAGCACAGAGGGAAGGGCAAACAGGTTCACAGCCACCGGCCCTGTCACTGGGTGGCTGTTTTCTGGCAGCCCCTACCTTCCCAGTGAATTAGGAGGCAGGGCCGTTGCCTGAGTGAGTGGGGGTCGTGGAGGAAGTTTAGGACTCACACCTGGGCTCAAGCGTGGCCCTCTAAAGGTCCACTGAAAAATCACTGACGTGAAGCTGATTGAGTAATAGAAAAAGCATGCAAATGTGTTTAATCAGATCCGCGGAGCCTTCAGAGTGAGCATCCAGAGACAGGGGAAATCGTCTGCTTTTGTGCTTACGCTCCACAGAGCATGACCGCCAAGTAGAAATGAGAGTGGACAAAAGGGTCCCATCCGACGTGAATGGACTGCGTGGGGAGACCCCGCAGGGTCTGCGGAGGGTCTTCTTGGCCTCTCTGTGCAGCCTTCCTTCCTTCAGGGTGTGGGGCGGGACCCTCTGCAGAATGGGAGCCTTATGACCCACAGCCAAACAACATTGGTCAGAGAATTTCCTTCTGGCCAATTTTGTTGTTGTTGTTGTTTTGAGATGGAGCCTTGCTCTGTCACGCAGGCTGGATTTCAGTGGCGCGATCTCAGCTCCTCCCAGGTTCAAGTGACTCTCCTGCCTCAGCCTCCTGAGTAGCTGGGATTACAGCACACACCACCATGCCCGGCTAATTTTGTATTTTTAGTAGAGATGGGGTTTCTCCATGTTGGCCAGGCTGGTCTTGAACTCCTGACGTCAGGTGATCCACCGCATGGCCAGTTTTTACACAGAATATTTTCAGGTTTGGTGGAAGTGCTTTTGGGGAAAGGGGATCCGGTTTGTATGACCTGCCCAGGAATTCCGACAAGGGATGCTGGTTTCTAGGGTTAGCCTCAGGGAGAACGGGACTGAGACAGGACAGGAGAAGGTCAGAGAGAAATTCGTGCTTCTGAGGGTGCTGCTGAGGCCTTCATTTGGGGATATTGTTTTCAGGGCCCCGACAGGAGAAAGTGAGGGACACTCAGGAGGGGCTGTGAGAAAGGAGATAAGAGATGGACCGTCCAACAGGGCTTGATGAAGGCAGCCGGCAGTAAAAGCCCCATCAACCCAGTGGGGCTTTCTCCTTTCTTTCCCTCCTTCTCTCTCTCCCTCGCTCCCTCCCTCCTTTCCTTTCTCTTCCTTCCTTTTCCTCCCTCCCTTCCTTCCTTCTTTCCCTTCC